TTTGAAACATGTTTGGTTAACGTTATTGGTTTGAACAATAAAACAATCAATCTCTACTAATTCATATCCATGTAGAAGTAGATAATTACAGGCTTGAGAAGGTAGGAATTATGGACTATTTGGTTGACTCTATGACATATTAAGCAGGGAATTAGAGCAATCCAAGTGAAAAGAAAAAAAGGAGCAGCTTTCCCAGTATCTCTGGTCCGGATCCTCTCCTGGATGAAATTCAACATTCCAGCCACATGGTTGTCAGAAAAATCACTCCGCCTGTTTCCTCACCTATAAAATAGAATTAAATCAGACTTTCTGGAGGTGGGCCTCAGGTCTTGAGATTTTGGAAAGCTCTCCGGGCGATTATAATGTACAGCTAAGGTTAAGCACTACCATTATATTGATATAATTTTTGTTTAGCTATGTTAATATCACCGAGCAGGAAATACACACATCCAACCTTTCCTACTTTTTGCCCTGATAGTCATATGTTCTCTCTCTCCTGAAGATAAATGATCTCAGCTACTCTCTATTTTGCCTACTAATCTAACAGCCAGGTCTCTGGGGATGCCTTATCCTAACCCAAATGGAAAGCTTTCAGTCAGTAGTATATCATAGGTCTCCAGTGCAGTACATTGCTAGGTGCACCAGCAAAATAAGGTAAGACAAAATGCTTTGGACATATGACAGGTAGAAGGACTCAATATTTTATCTTTTACCATGAGTGTTTGACAGAAATGATATAGGAGATAGCTGGAAGCAAGTGGTAAAGAATTTGTCAGGAAAAAAAAATGCCTGAGTGCTAATTTCTTTATGGCGCACTGCATGGGTCGATGATGTGATACAAAAATGAATCAGAGAAAGATCACTCCCACAGATTGAGAGTCTGAGAGCATTTATACTACGTATAATGTGCTGAGTGCCAAGAGAGGGGGCTCAGGTGGGGAGTGACTTCCAGCAAAGAGGTTATGGGAGTCTTTGTGGGGGAGGCAGCATTTCAGCTGGGCCTGGAAGGATGGGTAGGGTTTGGAGATGTGGGGCTAGGAAGGGAATGGCCCACGCACAGATGAAGAGGTGTGAAACTGTCGAGAATGGACAGGGAGCAGCAAGTATTTGAAATATTCTGCCATTTTCATAGCATTAGAACTATTCTCCCTCGAAAATTTAGTTAGATCTTAAGAGGAAGTTGTGAGAGTTCAGTTGTTTGCTTTTCACACTCATAATCTGATGTGATGTGTCTAAAGCGTTGGGCGGTGGATGTAGCTAGCAGTCTCATACATGTATTTGTATGTTTCAATCTTTCAGTCCTCAATTACAGAAGAGGAAACTTGGAGATAAAAAGATTAAGTATTTCAATGGTGATACAGCATTTTCCTATGAGGTACAAATATGGCCATCTGCCATTTCCAGTATTATTATTTTACCTCCATAAAAAGAGAACAGCAGTCGTCACTCCTGTCTGGGTACCAGCTCCCTGCTGACCTGTGCACTGCCGGCTGCCATCAGGCCCTGGGAAAACTGAGCAGGTAGGTCTGTGTGTCTGCGTCAAGTGTCCCAGGGTGCACACGCACTCGCTGTGAGAATTGAGAAGAGGAGACAGCAAGGATAGACCCAGCAGTAATGGCATCCAAAGGGGAACAAGTGGCAAAAAATATCAGCGTGGAAAAAACCAACCAGGAAAATGGAAAAAATTATGAAAAGGCGCAAGATGCTAACAGGAGGGAGCCCTTGGCCCTCCCTGTGTAAGCTGGAAAAGATTGTGTGCTTAAGGAAATTGTAGGCGGTTCCGCCTTCGGCAGCCCATCCTGCAGTATAGATGGGATGTGATTCAACGGCCACGGGCAAGGATGGGAGAAGAGCACATGGAAAGGGTTGGGAGGAGATGCAACAACTCATGCAAACGCTGAGGAAGAAGCAACCGAGTCACAGTCTGCAGGCAGTTAGCACGGACACCCCCTCTCCCCGCCCCCCAACCATGACCATCGCTATGAGTTTTGCCTTATGCCTGAATCCTCATGTACTCCCTGAAGTTAATAGGGGGACACCTGCTTTCCAAATATACATGTTCACAGTGTACCTTTGTTGTAAACCTTTTGATGTCACTTGTTTCTGGTGGGTCTCTTTACCAGCTTCTGGTTGAATGTTGTGTTTTTGACACAGTCTGTAAGATTTTGTTAGCAAGAGAATTTTAACTATTACGTGGAAAGATGCGTATTACATATTGTGAAGTTAATAAAGCAGTTTTTAAATAACAAAAAACATTTTTTTAATTGAAAAAAAAATAAAAATAAATTATAACGACAATAAGGCCAAGCTTATGCGAGTTAAGAGCACGTTTGGGGGTCTGAAGATGAGAAATATCTGTTGACAACAAGAACAGAGAGATCCGCACACGTCATTCCTGGGGAGCCGAGGAAGTGGCAGCCTAACAGCTCAGCGCTGCAGCCCTGGAAGCCCAGAAGCTGTCCTGGATCTGCCAGGGGCCGTCACCATAGCAACGCCCCCTCCCAGGAGAGCAACTCAGCCCTTGGAAACCTCCAGCATTGAAAAATTAACACAGATGATACTGGATTGGATTCAGCATGAGAAAAAAAAATCTTACAGAAATGTCCTTTCTAGGGACATAATTGGGACAAATGGGCTAAATTTAACTATGAATTGTGGATTAGATGGGTTCTTCTCAAACTTCAGTGTGCTTGGGACTCACCTGGTGGGTTTTGTCAAAACAGAACTGCCAGATCCCACCCCCAGAATTTCTGATTCAGTACGGCTGGGGTGGAAGCTAAGAATCTGTATTTCTGACACGTTCCTGAGTGACGTTGATGCTGATGGTCTGGGATCCCAGTGAGAACCACGGCATCACCTACTAGAATTGTATCAATGTTAATTTCCTGATTTTGATCATTGTACTGCAGGTATGTAAAAAAACGTCTTTGGTCTTAGAAAATACAGTATTTAGGACAAAGAGACATCATGTATGAACTTACTCTCAAATGGTTCAGGAAATGTAGATAGATGATCAGATAGATAGATAGATAGATAGATAGATAGATAGATAGATAGATAGACAGATAGATAGATGATGGATGATAGATAAAATGAATAAATAGAATGATAAGGGAAAAGTGGAAAAAACATAACAATTGGGAAATCTGGACAAAGGGTATATGGGAATTCATTACGCTATTCTTGTAACTTTTCTGGTAGATTAAAATTAAAAATTAAAAAAATTAATGCAGGGAAAGAAAGTAATAGCTTATCATTTAGATTTGCACAATCCAGTAGCAGCCACTAGCTACATGTTATTAAATTTTAAATTAATCAAAATTAAATAAAATTTAACATTGAGCTCCTCTGTCACACTTAGCCATACTTCATCAAGTGGTAAAGACGCACGAGTGACTAGTGACTACTAGAGTGAACAGCACAAATATAGAACATTTCCATCATCACAGAAAGTCCTTTGGACAGTACTGAACACAGTGAAAAATATTTTAAGACCAGGAAAGAGCCTTTGAAAAATTCAGTGTGCCAAACGCAGCAGAAGTAGCAGTTATTGTCATAGCTGTAGGAGTCAATTGTTTCCCACATAAAACAGTTTATTCATTGTTTTGAGACTAAAGGAAGAAAAATGGCTAAATTATAGCTGATGGATCATAGTGGTTTTACACAGATTAGTGACATAATTGCCAGAGGAGCTGTTTGGTATCACCACTTTGCACACTTCATCATTTTATTGATTTTCTTAACAATCCACTAGATGGAGAACTAAACATTGAAATATCCCCCTTCCTCCTCTTCTCCTTCTCCTCCTCTTCTCCTTCTTCTCCTTCTCTTTTTCCCTCTCCTTCTCCTCCTCCTCCCACTCCTAAAGGCAGAGGAGGGGCACGACCTGGATGGGGAAACACCCAGCAAGGCTGAGCTCAGGAGGCTGCCCTGAAGGGGAATAGCCCTCAAGCCTTTGAGACTTGGAGTATCTCAGCCTTTCAGATATTTTAACTTGCCCACTAGTTCCATTTCGGATGGTGCACCAGCTAATGTGTAAAGCAGGCAAGGCTGGTTTTTGTTGTTATCCCTACTCCTTTCCAGCTGCTGCTTCTCTTGCCTCTTCTTTTCTGTGTCTCAAACACACAGCACCCTCCTGTTGTCCGAAGTTTCTGACCCAAATAGGCCTGCCTTCCACTCTAAAGAGCATCTCCTGCCTTCCTAGCATCATTTCTTTTGGGTCCCAGCAACATCCAGGTGATGAACTAAATATACTCTAAGTTATGGATAGAACCAAATTCTTCCAAGGTGCATTTGGCTATGCTAGCTCTCAGAATGTTCTGGGAGATACTTTCTGAGCAATGTCATTTTTGGATATTCTCTTGTTCACCCAACTCTTGTAACCCCCTTCTACCGATCCTCTCATGAGTAAACGCACATATCCACATTACAGCTACACCTTGTCAACTTCCCCCTCTGGCACCTTTCTAAGCAGTCTCATACTCACTTGGGGTCAATAAAATGCACAGCTATTATCACTTGGAAAGAAAGTGAAGTGTCAGGGAAAACAGCAAATACCTGAAGCCATAAATCACCAATCAATAAATATAAAGGATTTCCATGGGGGAAATTGAGCCATAGAGCTAGAACCTAGAACTCAGGAGGTGTACCTCTGCTCTGTGCAGGACTCTGTCATGGCATTTCAATGTCCATCTAAGCACTGGACCATTGAAGGAGGTTTGGGGGATGTCCCCCACAAGAAAAAGATATCAAAGCCTATTCTGCAATATAATTATATATTATAATTTTTTCTTAAAGTATATTCATTCTGAGCTTCCCTTCATTAAAAAAAAATTGTCAATTACCTAGAGATGATCATTCTTAGCTGCAAGACATGAGGTCACTGGTTTTTATAGTTCAGTTTGTGCTTTGATAATTTGAACTTTTGAGATATTTCCTTAGAGACTTTTTCTATAAAACAGATTTCTGTTACGATTTTGAAAAGACAAGGAGAATCTCACCTCACAGTACTCTGTGATAATGCAGAAACTATCTTGCTCCACAAAGCTTGCGTGGAACTTGACAATGGCTGGGTGGTCCAGCTTGGAGAGGAGTTGGGCCTCCAAATTGGCCTGCACAGTCTCATTTGGATTGAGTTCTCCAACAGAGATTTCCTTCAGTACCTTTCTGCAGCCAAAAAAAAACAAGCAAAAACAATTAAAAAAAATACATTTAAAGCTAAAAACCCCATTTAATAGATATGAACAAGTGGTGCAGGGCCATCTAATTACTGCCCAGGTTGTGACCTACTCATAGGCCTGGTATTGCCCATTATGACACTGTGTCCCCTGCTGTGCCTGGGCCTGCCTCTCTGTCCCCGCCAGTGACAAGATGCTTCCCCAAGGCATCTGCCCCCCACACCTGTAGCTCTATAGTTTTGGCCAAACGAGGCAGAGATGGTGCTCATCTAGAGCACCATCGCTGAAGTGACTCTTCTTTGTCTGTCCAGATGTTTCCATTTCTCTCTCTCTCACGGTGTCTCCGTTTCTCTGTGTCTTTTTCTGTCTCTGTGTGTTCTCTCTCTATCTGTTTTCCTCTGTTTCTGTCTGCTTTTCAGTTTCTCTGTTTATCCCT